ACCCCCACCACCCCCCTGCTCCCCCGAGGTGGCTGCCTCCCCCCCCGGGGTCCTTCTGTGGGGTCGGGGTGTCCCCACGTCCCCAGTGTCCTCGTGGGGAGGGGGCTTCTGGTGGGATCGTGTCCCCAAGTCCCCACATCCCCATGTCCCTGTGTCTGTAGGTCCCCACATCTCTTGGTCCTTGTGTCCCCACATCCCTGTGTCCACCCATCCCTTGGTCCCTGTGTCCCCACGTCCCTTGGTCCTTGTGTCCCCATGTCCCCGTGTCCCCACGTCCCTGTGTCCCCACATCCCTGTGTCCCCACATCTCTACATCTCTTGGTCTCCACGTCCCCACATCCCTGTGTCCCCACATCCCTTGGTCCTTGTGTCTCCATGTCCCCATGTCCTCACCTCCCTTGGTCCCCATGTCCCCCACATCCCCGTGTCCCCACATCCCTGTGTCCCCATTCCCCGTGTCCCCATGTCCCTGTGTCCCCACGTCCCCCACATCCCTTGGTCCTTGTGTCCCCACATCCCCACATCCCTGTGTCCCCATGTCCCCACATCTCTTGGTCTCCACGTCCCCACATCCCTGTGTCCCCACGTCCCTTGGTCCTTGTGTCCCACATCCCTTGGTCCTTGTGTCCCCATGTCCCCGTGTCACCACATCTCTTGGTCTCCACATCCCTGTGTCCCCACATCTCCACATCTCTTGGTCCCCACGTCCCCACATCCCTGTGTCCCCACGTCCCTTGCTCCTTGTGTCCCCGTGTCCCACATCCCCATGTCCCCACGTCTCTTGGTCTCCACGTCCCCACATCCCTGTGTCCCCACGTCCCTTGGTCCTTGTATCCCTGTGTCCCTACATCCCCACGTCCCCATGTCCCTGTGTCCCCACATCCCTGTGTCCCCACGTCCCTTGGTCCTTGTGTCCCCGTGTCCCACATCCCTGTGTCCCTACATCCCCACATCCCCGTGTCCCCACATCCCTCTGTCCCCATGTCCCCACATCCCTTGGTCCTTGTGTCCCCATGTCCCCGTGTCACCACATCTCTTGGTCTCCACATCCCTGTGTCCCCACATCTCCACATCTCTTGGTCCCCACGTCCCCACATCCCTGTGTCCCCACGTCCCTTGGTCCTTGTGTCCCCGTGTCCCACATCCCTGTGTCCCCACATCTCTTGGTCTCCACGTCCCCACATCCCTGTGTCCCCACGTCCCTTGGTCCTTGTATCCCTGTGTCCCTACATCCCCGCGTCCCCATGTCCCTGTGTCCCCACATCCCTGTGTCCCCACGTCCCCACATCCCCGTGTCCCCACATCCCTTGGTCCTCGTGTCCCCATGTCCCACATCCCCATGTCCCCACGTCTCTTGGTCTCCACGTCCCCACATCCCTGTGTCCCCACATCCCTTGGTCCTTGTGTCCCCATGTCCCACATCCCTGTGTCCCCACACCCCTGTGTCTCCATGTCCCCCCATCCCTTGGTCCTTGTGTCTCCATGTCCCCATGTTTCCACCTCCCTTGGTCCCCATGTCCCCACATCCCCATGTCCCCACATCCCTGTGTCCCCACATCCCTTGGTCCTTGTGTCCCCATGTCCCACATCCCTGTGTCCCCACACCCCTGTGTCTCCATGTCCCCCCATCCCTTGGTCCTTGTGTCTCCATGTCCCCATGTTTCCACCTCCCTTGGTCCCCATGTCCCCACATCCCCATGTCCCCACATCCCTGTGTCCCCATGTCCCTTGGTCTCCATGTCCCCCACATCCCTTGGTCCCCTTGTCCCCACGTCCCCACGTCCCTTGGTCCCTGTGTCTCCATCTCCCCATGTCCCTGGCTCCCCAGATCTCCATGTCCCTTCTCCGGGTCCCCACATCTCTGTGTCCCCGTGTCCCCATGCCTGTGGGTCCCCATGGGCAGCCATGTCCCTCATCCCACCAGGTCCCCAAGTCCCTGTGTCCCCATGTCCCTTGGTCTCCAAGTCCCCAGGTCTCCAAGTCCCCGTGTCCCCACATCTCTGTGTCCCCATGGACAGCTGTGTCCCTTGTCCCCCATGTCCCCCACATCCCTTGGTCCCCTTGTCCCCACGTCCCCACGTCCCTTGGTCCCTGTGTCTCCATCTCCCCATGTCCCTGGCTCCCCAGATCTCCATGTCCCTTCTCCGGGTCCCCACATCTCTGTGTCCCCGTGTCCCCATGCCTGTGGGTCCCCATGGGCAGCCATGTCCCTCATCCCACCAGGTCCCCAAGTCCCTGTGTCCCCATGTCCCTTGGTCTCCAAGTCCCCAGGTCTCCAAGTCCCCGTGTCCCCACATCTCTGTGTCCCCATGGACAGCTGTGTCCCTTGTCCCCCCGTGTCCCCTTGACCCACGGGTGATGGGTGCTGGTGGCCCACAGGCCTCGGCGAACCAGCGCGCTGGCCGGGCGGGTCGGGTGGCTCCTGGGAAGTGCTTCCGCCTCTACACGGCCTGGGCCTTCCAGCACGAACTGGAGGAGACCCCAGTGCCCGAGATCCAACGCGCCGACCTGGGCTCCCTCGTCCTGCTCCTCAAGAGCCTCGGTGAGATATGGGGGGCTGGGACCCATAGGGACATCTCGGGGGGGCATTGGGAGGTCTTAGAGGGCATCGGGGCATCTCGGGGGGCATTGGGACATCTCAGGAGGCTTCTCGGGGATCATCAGGGCATCTCAGGAGGCATCTCAGGGGGCACTGGGGCCATGAGGCCATGAGGGCATCTCAGGGGGCATCTGGGCATCTCATGGACCATCAGGGCATCTCAGAAGGCACCTCAGGGGGCATTGGAGCATCTTGGGGACCCTCAGGACACCTCAGGAGGCATCTCAAGGGGCCATCAGGACATTTTAGGAGACATCTCAGGGGGCATTGAAGCATCTTGGGGACCTTCAGGACATCTCAGGAGGCATCTCAGGGGCCATCAGGGCATCTCAGGAGGCATCTGGGGGAGCATCAGGGCAACCTAAGGGGCAGTGGGGCATCTTAGAGAGCATTGGGGCATCTCAGGGGGTCATCAGGACATCTCAGGAGGCCTCTCAGGGACCATCAGGGCATCTCAGGAGGACTCTCCGGGGGTATTGGAGCATCTCAGGAGGCATCTTGGGGCACAGGGGCACCACTGGGGACACCTGGGCACCTGGGGGACCATCAGGACATCTCAGGAGGCATCTCAAGGGCATCTTGGGGCATCTCGAGGGACATTTGGGGACAAAAGGGACCTCGAGGCAGGGCCACAGCTTGGGGGGCTGGTGGACACTGGGGACTTGTGGAGCTGGGGGACACCCCGGGGGGACCGGGAGGTGGCCCTGAGGTGACAACGGGTGACGTCCTTGTCCCCAGGCATCAATGACCTCATCCACTTCGACTTCCTGGACCCCCCGCCCCACGAGACGCTGGTGCTGGCGCTGGAGCAGCTCTACGCCCTGGGCGCCCTCAACCACCTGGGCGAGCTCACCACGGTACTGGGAGCACTGGGAGGGACTGGGAGGGACTGGGGGAGTGGTGGTGGACCCAATGGGTGAGCTCACCACAGTACTTGGAGCACTGGGAACACTGGGAGAGACTGGGAGCACTGGGAGGGACTGGGAGGGACTGGGGGAGTGGTGGTGGACCCAATGGGTGAGCTCACCACAGTACTTGGAGCACTGGGAACACTGGGAGAGACTGGGAGCACTGGGAGGGACTGGGAGGGACTGGGGGAGTGGTGGTGGACCCAATGGGTGAGCTCACCACAGTACTTGGAGCACTGGGAACACTGGGAGAGACTGGGAGCACTGGGAGGGACTGGGAGGGACTGGGGGAGTGGTGGTGGACCCAATGGGTGAGCTCACCACAGTACTTGGAGCACTGGGAACACTGGGAGAGACTGGGAGCACTGGGAGGGACCCTGGGCGCCCTCAACCACCTGGGCGAGCTCACCACGGTACTGGGAGCACTGGGAGGGACTGGGAGGGACTGGGATGGTGGTGGTGGACTCCGTGGATGAGCTCGCCACAGTACTGGGAGGAACCAGGAGCACTGGGAGGGACTGGGATGGTGGTGGTGGACCCTGTGGTTGAGTTCACCATGGTACTGGGAAGGACTGGGGTGGTGGTGGTGGACCCCATGGGTGAGCTCACCACAGTACTGGGAGGGACTGGGAGCACTGGGATGTGGTTGAGTTCACCATGGTACTGGGAAGGACTGGGGTGGTGGTGGTGGACCCCATGGATTGGTGGACCCCGTGGGTGAGTTCATCCTGGTACTGGGAACACTGGGAGGGACTGGGATGGTGGTGGTGGACCCCATGGATTGGTGGACCCCGTGGGTGAGTTCATCCTGGTACTGGGAACACTGGGAGGGACTGGGATGGACTGGGATGGTGGTGATGGACCCCATGGGTTGGTGGATCCTGTGGGTGAGCTCATCACGGTACTGGGAACACTGGGAGGGACTGGGCTGGTGGTGGTGGACCCCGTGGGTGATCTCATGGTGGTACTGGGAGCACTGGGTGGGGGGACTGGGAGCACTGGGCCCTGACGCTGCCCCCTGTCCCCAGCTGGGCCGGCGCATGGCGGAGCTGCCGGTGGAGCCCATGTTGGCCAAGATGATCGACCCCGTAAGTGGTCTCACCATGATACTGGGAGGGACTGGGACAGTAATGGTGGACTCCATGGATGACCTCACCATGGTACTGGGAGGGACTGGGATGGTGGTGGTGGACCCCATGGGTGAGGTCACCGCTACTGGAAGCACTGGGAGGGACTGGGATGGACTGGGAGGGACTGGGAGGGACTGGGAGGGACTGGGAGGGACTGGGAGGGACTGGGAGGGACTGGGAGGGACTGGGAGGGACTGGGATGGTGGTGGTGGACCCCATGGATTGGTGGACCCCGTGGGTGATCTCATGGTGGTACTGGGAGCACTGGGTGGGGGGACTGGGAGCACTGGGCCCTGACGCTGCCCCCTGTCCCCAGCTGGGCCGGCGCATGGCGGAGCTGCCGGTGGAGCCCATGTTGGCCAAGATGATCCTGGCCTCCCAGCAGTGAGTGTCCCCTGGGGTCCCCAAGGGTCCTTGAATGTCCCCACCTGTCCTGGTGGTGTCCCCTGGGTGTCCCCAGGGTTGTCCCCACAGTGATGTCCCCTGGGTGGCCTTAGGTTGTCCCTGGGTGTCCTCGTGGTGTCCCCAGGGTTGTCTCCATGTCACCCTTGGGTTGTCCCCAAGGTGGTCCCCATGGTGTCCCCATGGTTTCCCCAGGGTGTCCCCTGGGTTGTCCCCTGGGTGGTCTCCATGGTGTCCCCATATTGTCCCCTGGTGTCCTCATGATGGCCCTGAGTGTCCTCCTGGTGTCCCCATGTTGTTCCCTGGGTGTCCTCATGGTGTCCCCAGGGTGGTCCTCATGGTGTCCCCATATAGTCCCTGGATTGTCCCTGGGTGTGTTTTGGTGTCCCCTGGGTTGTCCCTGGGTGTCCTTGTGGTGTCCCCATGGTGTCCCCATGGTGTTCCTTGGGTTGTCCCTTGGGTGTCCTTAGGTTGTCTCTAGTGTGGTCCCCAGGGTGTGCCTTGAGTTGTCCCCTGGGGTGTCCCCTGGGTGGTCCCCATATTGTCCCCAGGTGTCCCTGGGTGTTCTTGTGATGGCCCTGGGTGTCCTTGTGGTGTCCCCATGGTGTCTCCATGGTGTCCCTTGGGTTGTCCCTGGGTGTCCCCATGTTGTCCCCATGGTGTCCCCTGGGTTGTCCCGTGGTGTCCCCATGTTGTCCCCATGGTGTCCTCATGGTGTCCCTGAGTGTCCTTGTGGAGTCCCCATGGTGTCCCCATGGTGTTCCTTGGGTTGTCCTTGGGTGTCCCCGTGGTGTCCCCGTGTTGTCCCCATGGTGTCCCCATGGTGTCCCCATGGTGTCCCCTGGGTTGTCCCTGGGTGTCCTTGTGGTGTCCCCATGGTGTCCCCATGGTGTCCCCTGGGTTGTCCCTGGGTGTCCTTGTGGTGTCCCCATGGTGTCCCCATGGTGTCTCTTGGGTTGTCCCTTGGGTGTCCTTAGGTTGTCCCTAGTGTGGTCCCCAGGGTGTGCCTTGAGTTGTCCCCTGGGGTGTCCCCTAGGTGGTCCCCATATTGTCCCCAGGTGTCCCTGGGTGTTCTTGTGATGGCCCTGGGTGTCCTTGTGGTGTCCCCATGGTGTCTCCATGGTGTCCCTTGGGTTGTCCCTGGGTGTCCCCATGTTGTCCCCATGGTGTCCCCTGGGTTGTCCCGTGGTGTCCCCATGTTGTCCCCATGGTGTCCTCATGGTGTCCCTGAGTGTCCTTGTGGAGTCCCCATGGTGTCCCCATGGTGTTCCTTGGGTTGTCCTTGGGTGTCCCCGTGGTGTCCCCGTGTTGTCCCCATGGTGTCCCCATGGTGTCCACCACAGTACTGGGAGGAACCGGGAGCACTGGGAGGGACTGGGATGGTGGTGGTGGACCCTGTGGTTGAGTTCACCATGGTACTGGGAAGGACTGGGGTGGTGGTGGTGGACCCCATGGGTGAGCTCACCACAGTACTGGGAGGGACTGGGAGCACTGGGAGGGACTGGGATGGTGGTGGTGGACCCCATGGGCGAGCTCACCACAGTACTTGGAGCACTGGGAACACTGGGAGAGACTGGAATGGTGGTGGTGGGCCCCATAGGTGGTCTCACCATGATACTGGGAGGGACTGGGAGGGACTGGGGGAGTGGTGGTGGACCCAATGGGTGAGCTCACCACAGTACTTGGAGCACTGGGAACACTGGGAGAGACTGGGAGCACTGGGAGGGACTGGGATGGTGGTGGTGGACCCCATGGGTGAGCTCACCACAGTACTTGGAGCACTGGGAACACTGGGAGGGACTGGGAGCACTGGGAGAGACTGGAATGGTGGTGGTGGACCCCGTAAGTGGTCTCACCATGATACTGGGAGGGACTGGGACAGTAATGGTGGACTCCATGGATGACCTCACCATGGTACTGGGAGGGACTGGGATGGTGGTGGTGGACCCCATGGGTGAGGTCACCGCTACTGGAAGCACTGGGAGGGACTGGGATGGACTGGGATGGTGGTGATGGACCCCATGGGTTGGTGGATCCTGTGGGTGAGCTCATCACGGTACTGGGAACACTGGGAGGGACTGGGCTGGTGGTGGTGGACCCCGTGGGTGATCTCATGGTGGTACTGGGAGCACTGGGTGGGGGGACTGGGAGCACTGGGCCCTGACGCTGTCCCCGGTCCCCAGCTGGGCCGGCGCATGGCGGAGCTGCCGGTGGAGCCCATGTTGGCCAAGATGATCCTGGCCTCCCAGCAGTGAGTGTCCCCTGGGGTCCCCAAGGGTCCTTGAATGTCCCCACCTGTCCTGGTGGTGTCCCCTGGGTGTCCCCAGGGTTGTCCCCACAGTGATGTCCCCTGGGTGGCCTTAGGTTGTCCCTGGGTGTCCTCGTGGTGTCCCCAGGGTTGTCTCCATGTCACCCTTGGGTTGTCCCCAAGGTGGTCCCCATGGTGTCCCCATGGTTTCCCCAGGGTGTCCCCTGGGTTGTCCCCTGGGTGGTCTCCATGGTGTCCCCATATTGTCCCCTGGTGTCCTCATGATGGCCCTGAGTGTCCTCCTGGTGTCCCCATGTTGTTCCCTGGGTGTCCTCATGGTGTCCCCAGGGTGGTCCTCATGGTGTCCCCATATAGTCCCTGGATTGTCCCTGGGTGTGTTTTGGTGTCCCCTGGGTTGTCCCTGGGTGTCCTTGTGGTGTCCCCATGGTGTCCCCATGGTGTTCCTTGGGTTGTCCCTTGGGTGTCCTTAGGTTGTCTCTAGTGTGGTCCCCAGGGTGTGCCTTGAGTTGTCCCCTGGGGTGTCCCCTAGGTGGTCCCCATATTGTCCCCAGGTGTCCCTGGGTGTTCTTGTGATGGCCCTGGGTGTCCTTGTGGTGTCCCCATGGTGTCTCCATGGTGTCCCTTGGGTTGTCCCTGGGTGTCCCCATGTTGTCCCCATGGTGTCCCCTGGGTTGTCCCGTGGTGTCCCCATGTTGTCCCCATGGTGTCCTCATGGTGTCCCTGAGTGTCCTTGTGGAGTCCCCATGGTGTCCCCATGGTGTTCCTTGGGTTGTCCTTGGGTGTCCCCGTGGTGTCCCCGTGTTGTCCCCATGGTGTCCCCATGGTGTCTGTCCCCATATAGTCCCTGGATTGTCCCTGGGTGTGTTTTGGTGTCCCCTGGGTTGTCCCTGGGTGTCCTTGTGGTGTCCCCATGGTGTCCCCATGGTGTTCCTTGGGTTGTCCCTTGGGTGTCCTTAGGTTGTCTCTAGTGTGGTCCCCAGGGTGTGCCTTGAGTTGTCCCCTGGGGTGTCCCCTAGGTGGTCCCCATATTGTCCCCAGGTGTCCCTGGGTGTTCTTGTGATGGCCCTGGGTGTCCTTGTGGTGTCCCCATGGTGTCTCCATGGTGTCCCTTGGGTTGTCCCTGGGTGTCCCCATGTTGTCCCCATGGTGTCCCCTGGGTTGTCCCGTGGTGTCCCCATGTTGTCCCCATGGTGTCCTCATGGTGTCCCTGAGTGTCCTTGTGGAGTCCCCATGGTGTCCCCATGGTGTTCCTTGGGTTGTCCTTGGGTGTCCCCGTGGTGTCCCCGTGTTGTCCCATGGTGTCCTCATGGTGTCCCCATGTTGTCCCCATGTCCCCATGTTGTCCCTTGGCTTCTCCACCGACGTTCTGCTGCTGCTCCCCCGTTGTCCCCCCACCGTTGTGTGCGTGTCCCCCCCCCAATCTCCCCACCGAGCCCCCCCGTGGGGGTGGTG